TGTTTTTCTTTCTTTCTTTTGCTCCGAATGCCTTCAGGGCAGGTTTGGCTGGCTTGAGTTGTGGGGATGGAACCACAGCAACCTGAGCCTGACTGCTTTGTTGAAGCAGCCACTTAAAGAACTGAGCTAAGAGGCAGGCCCCCCCCCTTTTTAAAATTTTGATCACATGTTGAAATAAGAAAATTTGGGATATACTGGGTTATATAAAATATATTTATTAAAATTAATTCCACTGACTTCTTTCAATGTGGCTACTAAAATTTTTCAAGTTGCAGTGTGGTTTGCCTGATATTTTTATCAGATGGGCGCTCTTCCCCTAAATGAACGAAAACATGTTACTATATATACTATGATATATACACAATATATGTATATTATAAATAAATTATGCATTAAATAAAATGTCAGGCAGACATAAATGTCACACAGAAGGGGAAGGCTGGCTGGGGTGCGAGGCAGGGCTCTGTGTGCGCAGGCGCCAGCTGCTCTGCCACCCGAACAAGACCTCGTGATGAACAGGACGATGATGACGATGATGCCAGGGAAGATCCGACGCCAGGAATCTCTTCCTCACTACCCCGGAGGCTGACGTCATAGGTCCAGGTGTGCAGATGCCGTCTTCTCTCCATCTCTACAGGCTCCTCCTTCTTTCTGTCTGTGTCTTACTCTTTATCCTACTATAGTCAGATTAGACAAGGGTCCAGTGAACTCATTTTACCTTAATTACTTGCTCAAACGTTCTGATTCCAAATACACTCATGTTCTGGGTGCTCAGTCCAGGGCATGAGCATGTGAGCATGGGGGATACACTGAGCCCACTGTGGGAACAGGGACACTTCAGTGGAGACTCTGGGTGTGGCTATGCATGCCTGAAACTCAAGCACTCTAGGAGGCTGAGGCAGGATTACAAATTGGAGTCCCTTGTGGGGCACTTGGTGAGACCTTCTATATATATAAGATTCCACTGACTTCTTTCAATGTGGCTACTAAAATTTTTCAAGTTGCAGTGTGGTTTGCCTGATATTTTTATCAGATGGGCGCTCTTCCCCTAAATGAACGAAAACATGTTACTATATATACTATGATATATACACAATATATGTATATTATAAATAAATTATGCATTAAATAATGCATAATTTTATATATATAATGTGGGGGTGTGGCTCAGTGCAAAGGTCTAGGGTGGTTTTCAATCCTCAGTACCCAGACAAACAAAACAAAAAATCAGCTTCCCAAGAGGAAGTGCTGTCCAATACAGGACACTGAGCACAGCAGGCTCCTGGGAGGACATTTGCTGATTTGGTCTTGAAAATTAACTTAGTATTTTGTTTGTTTTTAAAAATAGTGGATGTTTAAATGCCTGGGTGCTCTGGCTCTGGTACGACACTGCCACTTTCTGTTAGAACGGAAGTCTGGTGTTTCTGGGAGCCGCTGTCTCCAGAAGACAACAGAAGCTAGTGAAACAGATCGGTGGATGCATCCACGGCAAACTTCCAAGACATATTGTTAAGTGAGAAAACTGAACTGTGGAATAATACACAGTTATTTTAAAAACCGCACACACACAATCAAATGAAACCAAGCCTGGCATTTTCGCACATCCGCACGTTAGGTGTGTGAACCCACCCAGCATTGGGAAGAAGCTGGGAAGGAGCCAAAGGAAGGTTTTTGTTTAATTCTACATTTCTCCTGTGTTGTTGGAGGCTTATTTGTTGTGTTTTAATCGCAAAAATGCATTAGAATTGTGTACTGAAAGACAAAGAAAAAGAAATGTAGAATACAATGGATAGGCAGGTTGGACAGGCTTACACCCGGATCAGCCTCCTGGGTCCTTGTCCTTGGGATTCTTGCTTTGTGACATTGGGTGAGGCTCTTCCCCTCTCTGGGCCTGAAGCAGAAGTTTAAGTAGTCTGTCCTCACAGTACAGGCATCCATGTGTACCCTCATGCAGACATGACTACCCCCAAATGTTCACCTGTGCATGCACAGGTGTGTACACAATCATTCACACACAAGGAAGTCACACATGCATGTACACCCACACTCACAGTCATGGTAGACATACAGGACACACAATGGATACACTGCATCCCTCTGTGTAGTAGTGCACACAGTTGCATTTGTTCACGTACACAACTGTGTGCAGACAGGCCTGGCAGTGTGTGCACACAGGATTCTCCGTGTATGGCCCTCAATTCCTGACCCTCAATTCCAAGTCACCCATCTGAAGCTGTCCTGGGATAAAAGCACAGGCCTCTACTTCGTGCCCGTGACTATATGCAGGAAGGAAGTGGACCCGGTGCAACTCAGAAGATAGGGCTGGCTGGGCTGAGTTTGCATCTGGGAGAGTGGAGTGTCAGTCTGGCCTATGGACCTGTGTGTGACTATGTGCCTTGGGCACAGGGGTGCCCTACTTAGGGATGAGTTTGCCATGGTAAAGAACTTTGTGATCTGAGAAATTTCCTCCATCTAGAGCTTTGCTCTTCGGATCAGGCATCTACATCACTGGGGTCTCCTGTAGCAGATTCTGATGACGCCATCAGTCTGCCTGTCCACGGCGGCACCTGCTGGTCCCCAGGCCATACACTGGGGGTCAGGAGCTGCAGAAAAGCCAGCAATGTGCTGGTTTTCCTGAGGTCTTGTGTTAGGCCCCACAGGAAGGAAAGAAAACGTAACCAATTCCACTCATGTCTGACCTGGGCCCCAAATCTGGGCACTGGGGGAGATGGGCAGGGTGCACTGAGTGGGTGGCTGGGGTCCCCAGGAGGCCCCAGTAGGCGGCGCTGTCCTCCCAGCCTGGGGGAACTGGAGGCGCTCTGGGCTCAGCAAATCCTGTTACATCCTGGCAACTGCAGTTTATCGTTGCGGCACTAATCCCTTAAAATTAGTCATTAGCGGCTTAAGAACCATTTAGCTTTGGGCACACACTAAGGAGCTGGCAGAGGCTGGGCTCTGTCAGGATCAGAACTTTTCTGGCCCAGATGCAGTGGCCAGGTAGGGCCTGGGCCTGTACACTCCAAGCTGCTCCACGGCTATCAGTTTGGGGTGGCAACTGCTAGTCCCTGGGCCAAACCCTGCAGGACAGGGAGCTGTAGAAAACTCTAGAGGCTTTGAGCTGAGCACTTGGAACCCTGGTAGGATGTCCATCCCTGGGGAACCCTCTGTGAGATTTTACCTATGAGGCATCCACCCAATTCCAGACACTGAAGGTAGGCGGCAGATGGCCCAGGCTCCATCTGTCAGATCAGGTGGGGGCCTGACTCCTGAGGTGACACTGGCTTGGGACAGCTGGTGAAGTCCTGTAGCTACCAGGGTCTGAAGCCATGCAGTCTCAGGGTATAGGCATGAGCCAGGGACCCTGGCCATGTGGACAGGATTCTAGAATGGTGGAGTCTTCAGCCCTGGAGTCCAGAGATACCAAGTACATCTTTCAGATCCTGCCGGTAACATCCGCTCCTACCTGCATTGGCCAGAGTCAGCCCTGGTCTTCAGACTCAAAACAGGAACTTAGGGGCCCTGCCTGGTCCACTCCCTGCAACACACACACACACACACACACACACACACACACACACACACACACAGGCCTCACAGCCTAGCTCCTTGGGCCACTGATTTTGCCTGAGGCTCTGGTCTGGACATGTCATTACTGCTTGTGACTCTGGCTTCAGCTGGCTTCACCCCAGCAGGCAGGTCCAGGTGGGACACCCTCACCCTGCTGTCTGCTGCTGGCTGGACCTGCTCAGCAGATCTAGGCAAGGTGAAGGTAGTGGGCTAGGCCTCTCTGCCGCTCTCAGCCCAGGGCCATGCACACTGTGGCTGTTTTGTCACCCATGGTGGCTCTGGACTCCTGAGTGGCCCCTAGAAGTGGATGTAGGGATGCACAGGCCACTCTGAATATTGTTCTATCCCTCTGCCAGCACCAGGAACAGAGCTGTGTACATATCAGGGGCTTAGTAATGGCTCAAAGCAAACACTGAGCCCATGCTGGTGTCCACCAGCCAAAAGCAACGGGGCAAGAACAAGGGGGAGGGCTCCCAACTCAAGCCCCTGGGTCCCAGGGCTGGGGGTGTCAGCCAGGCAGGCCCCCTCTTCAACCCTGGTGTGAGTGCGTATGCTCATTCCCGAAGGCAGCCCCACCCCACTCCCTGAGCCTAGAACCCTGGCCCTGAGGGACCATGCCTGGGTCTCCTATCCAAGGAAAGGCTTGGCACCAAGGTTGCAGATGTCCAGCCACTAAAGGGATGGGTCAGGTCAGAGCTTATGTTGCTGTAGAGCATGGTCAGCAGAGCACGGGAGGACTGGGGAGAGGACACCTGTGCATCCTTGGCTGTGGGGACCCCCAGAGTTCAGGGGGTGCCTTGGTTACTTTTAATGCCAAAGCTGTCCCAGTGCCCACTGTGTGACACAGCTTAACCCTCCTGGTGAGGAGCCTGTTATACCCTGGAGGGAGGAGCAGTTCAGACAAGGTAGGCGGCTGGCCTGAGGTCACACTTGGGGCACAGCTAGGCAAAGGCCTCAGGTTCCCAACCCAAGGCCAGTGCTGTGTGAGGCCTCTCCATGGACACTTTTGCTCCCAGGGAAAGTGGACGATTCTGCCCACGGCCTCCCAGCCTGGACACTGGTCCTGGTGACTGGGCACTGAGCAGGAAGTGCAGTGGGCCCCATGGGCTGTTGATATCCCAGCAAGGAGCCTGGCCACTTGGGGCCCATTTATACAGACAGCAGGTGGGGGCAAGGGGAGAAGAAACTTTATTTCATGAAGTAGGATGTGGGGACACTGGCCCCAGGGGACCATGTCTGAGTAGCGCAGTGGCCCTGGGAACTGACTCCAGAGTAGGATGAGGGTGGGACCCCAGGTGGCAGGTGCTGTCTTCCCACAACCACAACTGGGTGCTGTGGGGTTGGGCCAGCCAGGATGAGGGCAGAGCAGGGTTGGCTTCCGGGAAGCCCACTTGGGCCAGGTTATGCTGGTCACACCATGTGGCTGCCTGCCTGGTCCTGGGCACTAGGCAGTGGTCTGGTGGCTGAAGAGCTCGAGGGTGAGTGCGCTGAGAAAGGCCGGGATGCTGTCCTGGCGCAGCAGGTGCAGCTCGATGAGCTCGGGCACCGAGCGGGAGAATTCTGTCTCTAGCAGCTGCATCTTGGAGCCCGACGGGCCTGCGGCCTGCAGGGGAGAGACAGCAGGGGGTGAGCAAGGGAGGGCAGGAGCCAGGGAAGGGCCCCTTCATCCCATCTTCAGTGAGTGTGGTTAAGGTCACCTGCAAAGGTGAAACCAGGCAGTCAACCCTTGGGCTCCCCAGACAGACAACAGGCTCTCTGTCCCCTTGATGGAGAGCTGAGAGAGAAGAGGTAGTCTTAGAGTCAAGCCAGCAGACCAGGGAAAGGTGGCCCCCACCCAGTGCCTGCTGGGGATCCCTTGCCCCTGTAGAGTTGGGCTTCCTCTTCCTCTGCCCTAGGGTGGCCAAAGTCTGTTGTACACACAAGATACCAGGGAAGGTGGGATTCTCAGCCTAGTTTAGGGGAAGGAGCAAGGCCCATAGGCTGGGGGCTCCTGGGGCAGTGGACTCCCAGGGCAGGGGTCTCTGGGGGCTGTCTAGAGGTTGCTCTGGGCATAGGGCTTCTCTGTGGGGCAATGAAAATGTTCTAAGGAGATGGAGGAAGCTGCACATCCAACATGCTAGACCCAAACATACACTCTATTGGGAGGACACAGGACACTCATGTTCCTTCTCCCCACCATGACAGGGAAGATTGGGACCCTGGGCCAACTCTCTCCTCCATGTTAACCTGGCTCTCCACTGGGGCTCCCTGGAGACTTCTAGCCTCCTGGCCTGGGGTCACCTCTCCACCTCAAGTGCGGCCCCTCCCCAAGCACTGGGGCCTTGAGGTGCATGGGCTCCTGGAGCTGCCACCTGTCTTGTTTGTTACCTGCACTTTCCTGTTTTCCTGTTCACGCCTCCGCCTGTTCCCATAGCCCGCTAATACATTTAGCCTTGTCATAGTTCAACACAAACCATTTTTAAACAAAAATAAGAGAAACCACTCTGACCTTTTCCCAAGAAAATCCTTTCATTTCTGCCTTCTGTTCTCGACTCTGAATGTTTTCCCCTAAATGTCAGAGGGGCTGACTCTCAGCAGCTGTCGGGGAAGCTAGCAGTGGGGAAAGCAGGTCAGGGAGAAGTCTCTGGAGTCCCATCCTGAGGACCTGGGCTATCTGGTGTGGTCCCGAGCACCATGTCTCCCCTGAACCCCAGAAGGCTCAGAACCCTGCCTCCTTTATTCAGAGCAGGCAGCTGTCACTACTGTCTGTGCTGGCCAGGAGCAGGCAGGGGCATGGCGCCTTCCCACTGTGGCAAGTCCTGGGAGGAAGAGGCCCCTGTGATACAGAGGGGGGCTGAGAGGAGGGCAGGAATGCCTCATCCATACCCCAAATCTGTGTAGATCCTAGTGTCAGCAAAAGCCAGTTCTGCCTGCAGGCAGCACCTCCTGCCTCTGCTGCCCTGGGCCCTCAGCCCCCTCTGGTCTTGATTTCCCCTGGTGTACCCCACCCCCTTTACACTGGCAGATCTGCCGAGGCAGCAGCCTCAGCCTTATCAGAATGTGCAGATTGAATTATGCCCTACTGATCAATCTTGGATCAGCTTCTGTCGTGTTCAAATACCACCCAGTCCCCAGGTGCCTTGTAAATCACCATAATTAGGGGCTGTTCACTTAAAATTAGAGTGCAATTTTTTAAAAAGCAAATTGCCCAGTAAGACATGTTGGCTGTGGCTGGAAATATTTATGGGCTGCTTGCGTGCACTGTCCCCAGCTTCCTCTTTCCTCCATTTGGGAAAGACTGGCAGCCTGAGGCTGGCAGGTGCCTGGAGGACACTGAGACAGCTCAGCCCTAATGAAGACACTGGGCTGCCTGGTGGGTGGCAGCCACCACGCTCAGCCTGGACCTGCCTGTCCTGGCCTCCAGTCTCTACCTCCAGCTGACAGCAGAGCCTGGGTGCCCCAAGGCCTCCCTCCCAGGCAGGAGGGCCAGTTTCTTCCTGGCAGAGCCCTCACTGACAGGAAATGCAAGAGACAAGTGCCTTGCAGTGCAAGGAGCACCCACAGCTCGGGAGTTAACCGAGTGCTGCATCACCACTTCCCAAGGCCTGGCAGTGTTCCCACTGGTGTACACAGCAGGTACTTCGTAAAGTTTCTTAGGCAACTGGGGTGCTGAGTAGGAAAATAGCCAAAGCTAAGAGACCTTAGGGAGCAGAGACAGACACTCCACATCCCTTCTGTCCCCACTAACTGCAGTTGTGGTGTGGCACCAAAGTGACAAAGCATTGACTATCAAGGGCAAGATCTCCTCTCAGAGGACATCAGTGAAAGGTCCACAGATGAGAAAAGCGGTGGAGGAATAGCTTAAGAGTGTAAGCCCATTGCAATGTTTGCAACCTTGAATCGTGGCTTGAATAAGCAAAACTGAAATACAATAAAAAAGAAAACATTCAGGAACTGTAAATCCTACTACTTCAGATACCCATGTGGTATTTTAATATTGCTTATATGTGAGGGAGAGTTTTGTGGTTAGGTTAGCAAAAATGTCCCCACTACTTGCTTTATTTATTTGGTACCTCAGCCCACCCTGGGGGCAGGGCTGGTGTGGCATGTGGTGCTGGGGATCTAACTTCGGTCCCTGCGCTTGCCTAAACTTGCCTAAGCAGACACTGTCAACCACTGAGCTATCTTGACAGCCCCCCACTGCTTCTAGAGGAAGTGATCACTGCAGGGCTGAATGGTGAGATGCCGCTGTGCTGGGGCTCCACATCAAGCAGCCCAGTGCTCATGACAAAAGAAGCCAGGTCAAGGGGATGTGGGCACCAGGAGTTGTAAAGGAAAGATGACAGGAAAATAACACATCCTTTAAGCCCAGGGAAATTAAACAGCCCACTTCTGAATAGACCAAGGGCCAAGGAGGGTTTCTCAAGGGAAATAAGACATACAGAGAATTGAAGGAAAATTAAGATGCAACATCATGAAACTTGTCATTGCACCTAAGGCAGTGCTTCCAAGGAAAGTGACAGATAGACTGAAATGCTTACAGGAAAGGCTTCAGTTCCTGCCCAGAGAAACTGGACAAAGCAAAGAAAACCCAGGGCACACAGAAAGGAGCAAACACAAAAGCAGGAATAAACAAGATCTAAAGCAAAAGTATTACTGAAACAAAAACTGATTCTTTGAAAATCTGGAATAAAAATGGATAAACTTCTAACAAGACTGTTAGACCAGCAGACCTTGAAGCTACTATAGGAACATAGAGGAAATCTTACAAAAATTCTGTGTGCACACAATCCTGGATGGAGCCAATGCCTTGAAAACTACAAATACCAAGACAGCCAGGATGAAACATGACCTGGACAGTCCCATCACAATTAAAGAAGCCAATGCATAATCAAAAAGCTCCCCAAAAAGACATCTCTTGTCCCAGCTGGCTTTATAAGAGAATTTTACCAAACACTTAACTAGGAAATAACACCATTTTTTATAATCTTTTTGCAAAAATGAGAAGATATGTAGTCACTAATTGGGTGTCCAAACCAAAACACGCGCGCGCGCGCACACACACACACACACACACACGCACGTGTGCGCACACACACACATACACACACAGAAATGCAGACCAGTTTTTCTCATCAGCTTAGATGCAAATTCTCCAACAAGTATTAGCAAATCGAACTGACCATTATATAGAAGAGAATGCCATACCAAGACCACATGGGATTTATTTCAGGTATGCAAAGCTACTTCAATATTTGAAGATCAATTACCTACCACATCAATAAGCTAACACAGAAATCTCATCAATTAATAGATGATGCATTTGAAAAAAGCTCAGTAACTACTCAGAACAAAAACTCAGTAAAGTAGGAACTGAGGGGATTTCCTCAACTTGCCTCAAAGCACCCCCAGGTAACCTAGAGTAGATAGCAGACTTTATGGCAACAGGCTGGCTGCTTCCCTGAGACCGGGGTCAGGTGAGGGCCTGGGCTTGCCACTCACTCAGCATGGTACTGAGGTCCCAGCCAGGACATAAAGAGAGAAAGAGAAACACAAGGAACAGACATGGGAAAAGCAGCACTGAAACTGCTCTGCTTGTAAATGGCAGTCTGCTGATGTAAAGAACCCTACAGAAAAATTGCAACCAGTAAGCAAGGTTGTAGGAAACAAGATTACCACCCCCCAACCATAATTCTATAAAGCAATAGTGAACAAGTGAAAAATAAAATCAGGGCAGTACTACTTACAAAAACCTAATGTCTGTATCCTAAAGGTTGTAAAATGCCAATAGAAAAAATATTTAAATAAAGACATACAATATTCATGGATTGGAAAACTTGATTTAGAAAACATATATATTTTCCCAAAACCCATCTATAGGTTTGCTGTAACACCTATCAAAATCTCAGTAAGGTATTTTTGTAGTCATTCATATGCCTATGCTAAAATCTGTATGGAGAGTCCCAAGACAGCCAGGCAATTGTGAAAAAGGGGAAAGGGGAGGAGCCTCCACAGGGGAAGGTGCATTGTGGTTACTATACTAACTGCATAGCTGCCGTGTAGGACAGATGTGGGCAGCAGTGGGACAGGTAAGGAGAGCCCAAGAGAGACCACACAGACATGCTTGGCGGGAGGGTGACTTTATGGAGTCCCTTCTATAAATGGTGCTGAAGCAGCTGGACATCCAGTTAAAAAAATTTTTTTTAAACTAAAGCTCACACATAATATAGTATTTAACTCATAATACACCATGAAGTTGAAGGTGTAACATATAACTTAAAAAACAAACAAACAAAAACCTCAGGAACTGGGATCAAGCAAAGATTTGACTTGATACAAAAAGCACCTTCTCAGTCCCCCTGCTGTTCTTAAGTCAGGCAGGACCCAGACATGAGGCAGGGGCCTTATACCCTGGAGGACAGCTGCCTATGCATGGTGTTCTGGGTCTGCAAAGCCCTATGTTGAGGGTGGCTTGAGCTCACCCCTGAGCTCTTCAAGCCTGTCTGCAGATGGCTGAGGCTGAAGAGGCAGGTTTCAGGGCACCAGGTTCAGAGGGAAGGTGTGTGCACAGCAGTAGCCATGGCTGAGACTCCCACACTGACTCCCCCACCTTGTGCACAAGGG